ACCTCGTCAGTCTGTACAGCTCAACTAACGAAGAGAAACGTATGGAAGGAACGCTGCGGGAAGCGGAATTGCTCGAGGAACAATTCACTACCGCAACCGAGAGCATTTTGGAGGACGTACGTGGGCAGGTACGCAGTTACGCGGAGGAAACTGACTACCTGGGCGTCTCACAGCGGCCCACCCAGTCCAGGCTCGACGCGAACTAGCTTCGGAGGTCGGGTACGGATACAGCGGACCTGCCGCAAGCACTATGCCCAGTTGGGCTGGAGCCCGGAGCTACCTGCACGCGCACGGCAGAAGTTCAGTTGAGGCCTCGGAGTCTACTGCTGCACGTGGACTAGCGTACGACTACGGCTACCATGGCTACACGTACGAGCCGACGAGCCTGTCAGCCGGCGTAGAGCAAGTAACAGTTGCAGACCAGCACCGGGGAACGGAGTACGGTCTTGCTGAAGTCAGCGAAGACAAGTACAAGGCGGTCAGCGAAAGCGGACCGAAAGTCACCATGGGCACGGATGAGTTGCGACCAGAGACGCCGTTGGTCCGCAGAGCGCTCACTCCGTCTAAGACCCAGGTCAGCGCGAGCAGAGCGGCAAGCGGCTCGCCTTTGTCCACGGCTGCGGCGCAGGTTGGAGGAAGCGGCGCGCCAGCTGCTGCCGCTTTCGAGTCTGGCGCCACCGGGCACTTGGACAGCGCGAACAGAGCGACAAGCGGTCCGCCTTTGTCCGCGGCTGTTCCCCAGATGAGCGCGAGCAGCGCACCACATGCGTCAGATCCGGAGTCTGCACCAGAGCCTGCAACGCTATTCAGCGCAACCGGCAGGCCGCCTGCATCCGAGCCTGCAACGCTATTCAGCGCAATTGGCAGGCCGCCTGGATCCGGGCCTGTGCACGCGTCGGAAATTCAGACCAGCGCGGACAGCGCACAGCCTGTGAGCGCACAGCCTGTGACCTCTGCGCTAGCTGCAGGATCAGCACCTTGGGGATTGATCAGCGCAAACAGCGCGAACGGCACTGGAGCGATCAGCATGACCAGCAACCTACCTGTGTCACCCGCTGAAACGTTAGCACTCCAGATTGCCAGCGCCAACAGCGCAAACGGAATGAGGCCAGAGATGCCTGCATCCCAGCAGACAGTCAGCGGAAGCAGCGCAATCGACAGACTGCCTGGATCATCCGTACCTGCAACGCTATTCAGCGCAATTGGCAGGCCGCCTGGATCCGCTTCTGCCACGCTATTCCAGCAATCCGTTGACACCCGTCACACCACTACTCAGTCGCCAGTAATTACATCTGCGTCTCCGCAGTGGGCTAGCGCCAGTGGTGTGGCCGGCGTGCACACTGTGCCAGTAGCAAGTCTGTGGAGCCCGCCCGCTCCACAGGCCATGGGTTTGCAACCAGCAGGGTCGACTGCCACACCAGCACCAGGCCAAACGCGGCATCAGCAGTCATCGGACGAGATATTCCGGCGGCTGAAACCCATACAAATTCCAACGTTCACAGGCAACAAGAGAGCCTATCGTGCCTGGAGAGCAGCCTTCATGGCTTGTGTTGGGCAGACGAGCTCAAGTCCGGAGGTGAAGCTCCTGCACCTGAAGCAGTATTTAGGTGGAGAGGCATTGGTCGCCATCGAGAGCCTAGGTTACTCGGCCCATGCCTATGAAGCCGCCGTAAACCGTTTAGACAGGAAATTCGGTGGCGAGCAGAGACAGACAAACCTCCAATTTGAGGAAATAGAGTCGTTCCCCGCCCTCCGGACAGGCCGGCCTGGAGACCTGCAGAGATTCGCCGATTTGCTGGATGTGCTGATAGTGAACATGGCGGATGCAGGCAAGGAATATGAGCTGGGCGATGGTCTTCTGTTCCGACAGCTGCAAAACAAGCTGCCCATGCCCATGCTGACCCAGTTTAACCGTTGGCGTCACAACAACACGAAACCCAGCAGTGTACCAACGCTATTGGAATGGGTGACTCTCGAGGCAGAATTCGCTACTGGAGCAGCGGAGATGGCCCACGGAGTCAGTTCTGCGGATGGTCATCATGCAGCGGCGCTGCCGACTAAACCAGCCCCTGCAAGAAGTCGACCAACGTTCGGTGGCAGTTCCGGAGCCCACGCGTCGTCATTCCTGGTCTCTGGTCAGAGCGCTGCCAAAATCCAGTGTGCAGTATGTGATGCGCCCCATCACACATGGAGTTGTGATATCTTCAAGAGCGAGTCGCCCAGCAGGCGGTGGGAAACAGCAAAGAAGAAAGGCCTCTGCTATAGGTGCCTTGGCACTGGACATCGAGGGACATCCTGTACCAGAAACAGGAAGTGCGGTGTCAGTGGATGCAGTCAGACACATCACCAGCTGCTTCATGATCGTCAACCGCAGCAGAAACGGAACCTGCCTGAAGCAGCCATGAGCAGTGATGTAGCATCGTCAAGCGCTCCCACAGCTTCAATCAGCACAAGAGGGGCACCAACACCTGCAATAGAGCCAGCCTCTATTAATTGCTCCATCCAAGCATGCAACATCACGGAAGGGGAGCCAGATCTGGGAGAAGATCGGCCACGTGGAGTACCTTCGGTCTCGTTACGCATCCTCCCGGTGTCGCTTGTGCATGAAGGAGAACGGATACAGGTTAACGCTATGTTGGACGATTGCAGCACTACCACCTACATAACCACTGCAGCTGCCGGGCAGTTGAGGGTGGCAGGAAGACCGCAGCAGGCATCAGTTTCTCTTCTGAGCGGGTTGACGGAAACATTTGTCACGACGCCGGTCAACATCACAGTGGAAAGCGCTGACGGAACATTCCAGTCCAAATTAACGGCGCTAACTATTGAAAGCATCGCAAGCAACTTGAAGGCTGTTGACTGGGCGAATGCGGCAGCGCAATGGGACCACCTGCGAGATGTTCCCTTCAATATGTTCTGTAGAGGCGTGCTCCTGCCTCGGCACACACCCAAACCACACAAAGGACCAGCTCGCGACTATGAAGAGAACTCTGTTAGAAAACTCTGGCTCCAAGCCGCAATTGCTTGAAACCTTTCACCGAACTCGTAAGCACTAAAGCCTACTCTAGTCAACTGACTACTGCAGTGAAAACGTCTAGCTTATAACACTTGCATGCCAACAACTCCATCAGCAGGCGCGAAAGAAGGTGAAGACAAAGCCTGTGACTTAAAAGTGTGAACCCTAACGAAAGTCACAGCTACATGTAACACAAAACGAGAGTGCATGTCAGTGACACGTGCGACCTCCTGAACAGATGTTGTATGCAGACTTCTTGTTCTTGGATGCTGGTAAGTATACTGGAGGGTCCTCAGCACGACCTCGCTCTGCTGCAGTTTGAGGTAGACCGTATATGTTAGCATATGAATAAATAAACTGCACTACATCCTGCTCTATGTCTGCTAAAATGGCCAAGTGCTCTGGTGTTCTTCCAGTCAAGCCATGGTGTGCCAGTTGAACGACTCCTTTGTTTGCCTTTTTTTGAAGACGCTTCATTACATGACTTCCAACAGCATGAACTGCCATGAACACGTCTTTGCACAACTCCTAACCACGTATATGATAGAGGAAATAGAAAGGTCGATCACCACCACCAGTCATCGACTTTCGCATGCTTCCAGTCAGTGCGCCCGGAACAAACTGCTTGAAGCTCTTTTTCGATTCTCGCAGTTTAGAGACTTGAAATATTTAGTCCTCGAGCTGCTGCTCTGGGATGACTTTCCGATGATTCTTCGACTTGCATCCTCAGCCTCTCTCAATCCCATCGCGTATGTCTGAACACAGGAGACCACGCCTCACCTGCTCCGTCGTCGGTGACTCAGGTGCGGGGGCATCTGGTTCGTCATCCGATCTTGGCGTATCTCACAGTTGTTGCTGCTGCACTGTGAATGTGTTTTTGAATAGCGTTCCAGTTCTCCTGCATGTCGTCTCCTGCTTCCCCAGTAGGCTCTGCAAGTGCATCTGATAGCTTCTTTGCATAAGCGAGCTGTACTTCTTTCTCTGATGCCAGGCGTAGTGTATTGAAACTGGGCTGTCTGCTTATGCTCCGTTTGTGCGTCTGGCTGCCCAAGACACCATACACTCTTGATATCTCTAGGTTTGCGATTACAATTCTATGACTGAGTAAGTCTCCATCCCGCCGTAGCTCCTGCAGTTCTTCAAGAGACGTTTCTGTGGCTCACGGCAAATAATGTAATCAACCTGATTGTACACAGGGACTTTTTGGTCTGCTGCTTTGTCT